TTGGATAAAAAATCGGCTTGGCATTGGGGTCACAAGGAAGACTCCGCTTTTCGCACAGTCAAATCACTACTCACGTCGGAGGCGGTCCTTATTCAGTTTGACCCCAACCTTCCCTTAGTGCTAGCAGCGGACGCATCCCCTTTTGGAATTGGGGCAGTGTTAAGCCACAGGCTCCCCAATGGCTCCGAGGCCCCCATCGCTTTTTTTTCCAGGACGCTCTCTGCAACAGAGCGCAACTATAGTCAAATCGATAAGGAAGCTTTAGCAGCTGTCGCAGCTGTGAAGAAATTCCATGAGTTTCTTTTTGGCCACTTTTTCGAGCTGGTCACGGATCATAAGCCTCTCCTGGGCCTACTAGCAGGTGACAAACAGACCCCTCAAGTCCTGTCACCTAGAATGATGAGGTGGACTCTTTTCCTAGCAGCATACTCGTATAGACTCATACACCGTCCAGGTAAAACATTGTCTCACGCAGACGCCCTCAGCCGCTGCACCCTACCTGCTCCAGCTGAGGACCCGGCCCCAGTCCACGCTATCTTTGAGGTCACCCAAATGGACCTCCCCATCACTGCCCTTGACATTGCAGCCAAATCCAAGGCAGACAAGACGATCGCCCAGGTACTGGACTGGGTGAGGAGGGGGTGGCCGGGCAGTGATGTTGAAACCAAATTCACGCCTTTTAAGACCCGCCTACAGGAGTTATCCAGTTTGCAGGGCTGTTTGCTGTGGGGCACACGAGTGGTCATCCCGACCTCGCTGCGTACCAGAGTTTTGGAGGCGTTGCACGAGGGCCACCCTGGCATCGTCAGAATGAAGGCATTAGCACGCAGCTACGTATGGTGGCCCGGCCTCGACGATGACATCAGCAGATGGGTAAGCTCCTGCCATCCCTGCCAGGAATCCCGTCCATCCCCTCCAATTGCCACCCCCACCAAGTGGGAAAGCGCCAGCGCACCCTGGTCCAGGATTCACATCGACCTAGCAGGCCCGACACACGGCAAAATGTTCCTGGTGGTCGTGGACTCTTACTCTAAATGGATTGATGTGGCACAACTGTCCACAACCACCACGCAAGCGGTCACCAAGGTATTAACTCGCCTATTCGTAACGCACGGGCTACCTGACTCAATTGTGTCCGACAATGGCCCCCAGTTCGCATCGGCTGAGTTCAGTCGCTTCGCTGCCAATCTGGGCATCCGCCACATCTTCACGGCCCCCTTTCATCCTGCCAGTAACGGGTTGGCAGAAAGAGCCGTTAGGACCACTAAAGAGGCTCTGGCTAGGTTCAGCAAGGATGACTGGCACCACAAACTCTCCCGTTTCTTGCTGAGCCAGCACTCAACCCCGTGCACAGTCACTAATAAGTCCCCGGCTGAACTCCTGATGGGTAGACGCCTGCGGACTGTATTGGACAGGCTGCACCCACATTACTGCCCTGACGCTCCCCTCGCTTCCACATCGGGGGTTAGGCATTTTGTCTTACAGGAACCCGTGTTCGCGAGGAATTTTGCTGGAGACCCTCTGTGGATCCCGGGCGAGGTCATGGCCATCACCGGACCCAGGTCGTATAGAGTCAGACTGGAGGATGGCCGGATCTGGAGAAGGCACCTGGATCAGCTGCGGAAGCGCCAAGACACGCACGTTAGCAGTGACTCATGGTTGCAGACCGGTGCAGGGCTACAGCATCAACCCCACATCAGCACCAATTCCAGGGACCAGCTCACGCCTGCAGCCGAGTCAGGGACCCCGAATACGACCCATGACCACCTGATGGCTGACCAGTCCGAACCAGCCAACGGAAACACTTCCTCAACGATCAGCCCTACAAGCCCCGATCCGACACTGACCGAGGAACGCGCTCGTGACACCACACCGGTCCAACCTTCAGTTACAGACTCCGATCTACCAGACAATTCCCCAGAGTTGCGCCGTTCTGGGCACCAGCACAAGCCTCCCGCATACCTTAAAGACTATGCGTGTTCGCATCTGGGGGGAAGGGGTGTTATGTCCCTGGAACTTAAAGAAGTTCCCACCCAGGTCCGTTCGTGATACGGGGGCGGTTGCCCTCTCTCCCATTGGTTGGTTCTCCCCAGCAGCCAGCTATAAAAGCAGGCTGCGGGGTCCAACCAGTTGCTGATCGCTGCGAGCCAGTTCCAGGCTTGGCAAGCACAGTCAGTCCTTTATTATTCTAATAAAGTATTTGTTGCATCCATGCCCTGGTTCAGCCTCTCATTTCCCGAACATAACAGTGCAAAAGTTCATTTATTTTAGTAATGCAACTTAAAAGGTGAAACTAATATATGAGAGAGACTCATTACATGAAAAGCAAGATAGTTCAAGCCATGATTTGTCATAATTGAGATGATAATGGCTTACAGCTCATGAAAACCCCAAATCCACAATCTCAGAAAATTAGAATATTACATGCAATCAATAAAACAAGGATTGTATGTAGAACAGTATCAGACCTCTGAAAAGTATAAGCATGCATATGTACTCAGTACTTGGTTTGGGCCCCCTTTGCAGCAATTACTGCCTCAATGCGGCATGGCATGGAAGCTATCAGCCTGTGGCACTGCTGAGGTGTTATGGAAGGCCAGGATGCTTCAATAGCGGCCTTCAGCTCTTTTGTATTGTTCAGTTTCATGTCTCTCATCTTTCTCTTGGCAATGCCCCATAGATTCTCTATGGGGTTCAGGTCAGGTGAGTTTGTTGGCCAATCAAGCACAGTAATCCCACGGTCATTGAACCAGGTTTTGGTGTTTTTGGCAGTGTGGGCAGGTGCCAAGTCCTGCTGGAAAATGAAGTCAGCATCCCCATAAAGCTCGTCTGTGGAAGGATCTCCTGGTAGACAGCTACGTTGACCCTGGACTTAATGAAGCACAGTGGACCAACACCAGCAGATGACATGGCTCCCCAAATCAACACAGACTGTGGAAAGTTCACACTGGACTTCAAGCAGCTTGCAGTGTGTGCCTCTCCATTCTTCCTCCAGACTCTGGGTCCTTGGTTTCCAAATGAGATGCAAAAGTTGCTCTCATCAGAAAAGAGGACTTTGGACCACTGAGCAACAGACCAGTTCTGTTTTTCTTTAGCCCAGGTAAGATGCTTCTGATGTTGTTTATTGTTCAGGAGCGGCTTGACAAGAGGAATACGACATTTGAAGCCCATGTCCAGGATCCATCTGTGTGTGGTGGCCTCTTGATGCACTGACTCCAGCCTCAGTCCACTCCTTGTGAAAGTCCCCAACACTTTTGAATGGCCTTTTCCTGACAATCCTCTCCGGGCTGCGATCATCCCTGCTGCTTGTGCACCTTTTTCTTCCACACTTTTCCCTTCCATATAACTTTCTATTAATGTGCTTTGATACAGCACTTTGGGAACATCCAACTTCTTTTGCAATTACCCTTTGAGGCTTTCCCTCCCTATGGAGGGTGTCAATGATGGTTTTCTGTACAACTGTCAGGTCAGTGGTCTTTCCCGTGATTGTGCTTCCTAGTGAACCTGACTGACAGACCATTTAAAGGCTCAGGAACCCTTTGCAGGTGTTAGGGCTTAATTAGCTGATTAGAGTGGGACACTTTGAACCTAGAATATTGAACCTTTTCACAATATTCTAATTTTCTGAGATTGTGGATTTGGGTTTTTCATGAGCTGTAAGCCATAATCATCACAATTATAACAAATCACGGCTTTTACTATCTTACTTTGCATGTAATGAGTCTATCTCATATATTAGTTTCACCTTTTAAGTTGCATTACTGAAATAAATGAACCTTTGCACGATATTTTGATTTTTCGAGTTTCACCTGTAGTCATTTTTCTTCCTCTTTTCACAATAGTCCATTACATCAAGCCTTTATCGTATTTTTCTTCATTTTCTTACATTTAGAGTATTCTTTCTAAGTATTTGCACTACCACTGCCACTTGTTTTTGCTAGATCTTATTATACAATTTATTGCCTAAAAGTTAAGTTTGAATTATGCATAGCCTTAGAGGTACATATGTTTACACAATTTAGATTGTTTAATATACCATGAAAGAGAGCTTCTTATCACTATATTGGTAACAGAGAGACCCAAAAATGCAACTGTTTTTTATTGTTACAAAATTAGAACTACCAAACTTTGCCTAAGCAATATGAATTTCAATGAACAAAAGAAATATAAGCTAACAAGCCAACATCCCCTAGCAACCAAAATTCCTCTCCTTACTTTTTACAGAGTGGCCTTCTAAATTCAACCTGAAAAATCTAAGCGATTCTGCTTTGGCAATGGCTATAAATCAAGTTACATAATCAATGTTTGATCGACAGCCAACATGACTCTATTTTGACTCTGATATTTCCACAGGGAATCTAGTGGACACATTAGCCATTTAGAATGACATTACTACATTGAAAAGTAAGACCATGAGAGGACACATTCGAAAGCTGATGTCCACTACATTAACTAACAATACAGCCCCCCTTAGCATACATAACAGAGATCTATGGTTCCCAACAATACAATGAGATCTAAGACCATCTCTTATCCCTACTACTCCTTGCATTGCCCTTCTGTTTTTCTTGCTTTTTTCCAGTTTATGCAAACAGCATGTCCTGCTTTTCCTGCCCTCTTGGGACACTTATAATGTCCAATGTTAACCTTGAAGCTCAGATGAGAATTAACTATAGCAGTGGTCCCCAACCTTTGCAGCTTGGCAGCCAGGCTAAGAGGGGAGAGTAGTGGGCCATCATGCATAGGCACACAGCCTTTGCATGTGTAGTGGGCCAGCATGCATGTGTGTGGGCGTGCCCACTGCTTGTGGAAGTTGAGTTGCACACATGTCCATGCTCTGGCCAGCCACTCATGCAGCCCAATTCTTAATAGGCCACAGCCTGGTAGCGGGCCATGACCTGGAGGTTGTGGACCCATCTGCTCCTAACAAGCCTCGACCAGTGTCCAATGAGCTGTAAAACTGTTCTCCTTCAATAGCCTACAGACCCTGTAACTGATTTTGCCTTCAGTTAATCAGTCTACAATTTAAAGCTGTGAATTATTACAAATGCATGGTTTTGATTGAATCATCAAAGCCACACTCCATGACACTGTACTGATAACTTGACATGTGTTCATTGTGCTTGCGGTGATACAGAATCAGCATTAAACAGATATTAAGTCCTGAATAACTAGCAAAGCCTATACCCTCTCTGGAAGATAAGTATCAAGAGATTACTTCACACGTGACCTCATTTGCTCTGATTGCATCCACAATCAGCAAACCTAGCTAAACTTTGCACTGTAATAAACAAAATTTATTTTTAAGTGCCTTTTATCTGATAGCTCAGCGGGACATGATTTTTAAACAAATTTCTCTTCCTTTTGGAAATTGTCTTTGATAGCCTGGGTTGCATGGTAAATACGAAATGTTTAAATGCCATTCCAGAAAAGGAAACTATCGTAGAGAAACAGGCCATAGCCATCTCGGTACTTTTATTTTTATGCTGACAGCAATATCCTTAGGGTCTGAAAAATGAACAAAAAGCGATGTTGTCCTTGAAACACAATGTCTTTGTTCAAAAAAAGTAAGTGAAAAGAGAAAACTCCTTTTCTCCATCTGTGCGCTTAGAATAATTGGCTCAGAATTGTTCGAATATATGTGAAGGTTATCCCTGTTATGTTTCCCAGGTCAAGGTCAGCTTGGATTACCAGGCACAGGTGATAGTATGAGATTGCATAAATGAAAGCAGCAGACCAAAGACACTGCATGGGCTTACATGTTCCATTATTCTTGCTATGATTTCCAGATAGAGGATCCCCTGAGTCCCTTTCTTCTTTATCTGGCAAAATCTCTCAAAGGTGAATGCTAATCTATATTGAAAATGTCAGAATCTTTCCCAATTTTCTAAAAGAAAAGGTCTTTCTTGGTTCTACTAGATAGACCTCCTTAAGAGAGGGGACAGGCAACATACCTTGCCTCCTTGTTCTGTCGGGTTCAGTACATGCAACTGGGAAAATAAGGTCCTTCAAAAAACCTGGACCCAAGCAATGAGGAGCTTTAAAGTGACAAACAGCATCTTAAATTTGACCTGGAAGCATATGGTGGCAAATGCAGCTCCTGAAAGAGCAAATCCATACTTGCACAAAACCATGTGGGCTGCCACATTTTGGATCAAATGAAGCTTCAAATACTTTTCAAGGGCAGTCCCATGTAGAGTGCATTGCAATAGTTAAGACAAGACGTGACTAGGGTCTGGTTGACTGCAAGCAGGGATTGTTGATCAAGAAAGGGCATAACTGAAGCACTGTTGCACAAAGGCCCTCCTTGCCA